ATAACTGTATATAAAGAATATCAACACTGCATGTATTGAATGAAGATGATATTGCTATGTAACACTGTAGCTGTTTCTGTATATCTCTAAAAGCTGTTAATATTTTCTTTATCTCTTTATATTTAATAAGTCAGTAATATATTTCAATGCACTCTTTCTTTCATTATCATCATTATTATCATCATCATCATTATTATCATCATCATCATTATTATCATTATTATCATCATCATCACTATCATCACTATTATTATTATTATTATCATCATTATTATCATTATTATCATTATCATCATTATCATCATTATTATCATATCATTTCTGACCGCCTCTTCTGCCTTTACCTCTCTTCAATACATATTAAAATCAATCATGTCATCTCTCTTCAAATATTCTGCGGTTCTGCAGATCATCAAGGCGCGTGAGCACTGTCACAGATTGAAGAAAGAGAAGAAGAAAGTATTTAAGCAAGAGAAGACAGATTGTAAGACATGTTATAATGCCTTGAAGAGACTCTGTAAGAGAGTAGAATAATAATGATTTTAAATAACACTTCTGATAGATTTAGACTGAACTAAGTATAGAAATAATACAGATGACACTGTCTGTGAGTGATTGACAAAAAAGATAGTGAAGAGTCTTATACAGCAGCAATGAGATCAGAAGAAGTTCTGAGAATGATTTGAGTACAAGATAAAGAGAGAGAGAGAGAAGAAGAGTATTACTGTAAATAAGTAATAATAAAAGAAAATTGAGAGAGTGTTGAAGTAGAAGATAAAGAAGTTAAAACTGATAAGTTTTTTATTTATTAAGAGATAATAATTTTTGATAATACTTCTGTTCTCTAATTAATTAGCAGGAGCTGACAGAGAAGAAGAAAATTAAGGCCTTGTTCAGGTCTTAAATGCACTTCATGATTCAGAATATTGAGAAGACAGCTCTGCTCTCTGAGCATGTCAATCTGCTTACTACTGAGATGAAACCTGAGACAGCAGATCAGAAAATGCGGGATTTTGAGATGTAGATTAACCTGGCTGAGAAGAAGCAGCAGAAACCCTTCTCTGAGAGATAGCAGAAGAGAGATTTTGAGATGATTATTATCTCAGATGAGGAGAGAGAGAGAGAGATAGAGTAAATTATGAGATGATAGAGATGAGAAGAGAGAGTAGAAAAGTTTTTT